CACCTCACAAAGTTCCCATGGCGGACTAGATCCTTTGAAAGCTGAGGCTTGGGTTCTTGGGATCGAAAAACCTGTTTGAGGTGTTTCCGTGCTCGGATACACAGAAAGTGCTTCTAGCCACCTTTAATGCTAGAAGAAATGAAGCGAGAAGATGGTGATGTTGATGAGGGAAAACCACAGAGATGTGGATTGGGCGAAATTTTTGGAAATCTTCTATGACAAGTACTTCCCGCAGTGCGCCCGGGACAGGAAAGTGGCAGAGTTCATGGAACTCAAGCAAGACAGCATGACTATAGCTGAGTATGAGGCCAAATTTACTGAGTTGGCCAGGTTTGCACACAACGTAATTGATACTGATTATAAAGAAGGCAAGGCATTTTGAAGGAGGGCTCCGAAGTGACATCCTAGAGCGGGTGAATGTCCTGAAGTTGGAGACCTACATCGGGGTGCTTGATCGGGCCCATCATATTAGAGGCTAACATAGCTAGACAAGCTAAGCCAACAACAGAATGGAAAGGCAACAAAAGACAAGGCTTCTTTTTCGAAGAAGAAATTTCTGAAAAAGCAAAACACGGGCTCCTCAACTACTTCAAGTTCTTCCCGAGACACACGCTCCATGTGCAACATTTGTAGTAAAAGGCACCGTGGAGTCTGTTACCATTCATCGGGAGCCTGTTTCAAGTGTGGGAAAACAAGGGCACATAGCCCGAGAGTGCAATCAGAACGGTGGGAAACTAGTAGCTAGTTCAACTGCATCGGTTCCAAAGCCGGGAAATGCTGTGAGATCCCGCTATTACCGCGGGACACAGTGAGACAGGGGAGAGTTTTTGCGCTTGTTCCGGGTGACACACGGAACGCCAATGCCGTTGTCTCAGGTACTATCTCAATATGTAATCAGGATGCTTTTTGTGTTAATTGATTCTGGATCAACGCACTCATTTGGTGACATATGCATTTGCATCTAGACTGAAAGACCCCTAGAATGGTTGCCATATCCTTGTTATGTGTGTCTGCTCCATCGGGGGAATCTGTGCTTATGTGAACTATATATATGGTTTTGTGTGACATGCATATTGAGGATGCTACCGCTATATGTAGATTTGTTGCCCTTAAACTTTAGACACTTCGATGTAATTTTGGGCATGGATTGGTTGACCAAATATTGTGCCACTATAGATTGTGTGACAAAAGAGGGTTGTGTTTAAACCACCAGAACAAAAAGAAATTGTGTTTGTGGGAAATGGGGTAGTGCCTCCACCATATTTGATATCTGCAATGAAAGCATGTAAATTGATCAGGAAGGGGTGCCAGGGTTATTTGTGTTATGTATTGACTGACAATCCGTGAATGTTGATTGAATGATATTCCCATTGTTAGAGAGTTCCCAGATGTGTTTCCAAATGAATTACCAGGGGATTGGTAGACAGGGAGATAAAAAGTTTACTATTGAGACTGTGCCAAGGCACCCAGCCTATTTCTAAAACTCCCTACAGGATGGCTACCGCCGAAATGAAAGAATTAAAGGAACAGTTGCAGGACTTCTTGATAAAGGGTTTATACGGCCAGCACTTCACCTTGGGGTGCACAATGTTGTTTGTAAAGAAGAAGATGGTACTTTGGCGCCTGTGCATCGATTATCGGGAATTGAATAAGGTAACAGTAAAGAACAAATACCCCCTACCCGTATTGATGATTTATTGACCAGTTGCAGGGATCACAGGTGTTTTCTAAGATTGATTTGAGATCAGGGTTATCATCAGCTGAAGGTTAAGGCAGAGGATGTGAGAAAACTGCATTCAGAACGAGGTATGGTCATTTTGAGTTTCTTGTTATGCCATTTGGAGTGACTAATGCTCCAGCAGCATTTATGGACTTAATGAATAGAATTGTTGTGCCTCACGCATGAGACCATCCTTGCCCTTTTTATTGTGTACTTATGTTTTGTCTTGTTGGCAAGGGCTAGTGTATGTCTGTACATAGTCGGTTATAGGTTGACTTCGTTTGGATGATCCTGTCTGTAATGAATTTTGTGAAACTGTATTTTTGATGTGGGTTTATTAACGTATCGAGTATGGTTTGTTGATGTGCATATAAGCACGGCTCTATGGAAAAGTTTTAAATTTTTGCTTCCGTTTGGCCCCTTTACTCTGATGTCTTAAGTCTGTTTTGGTTTGAGGCCGTAGGTAATCTTAGGATTACTGGCCGTTACGTCCTTAACCCATGGGGGCGGGTTCGGGTCGTGACATATCTTTTCGTAAAAAATCAAAAAATATACTTATTTAGATCATTCAAATACCTCTAAATGGACAGCTAAATGTTGATCTTTGACCACCTAGTAATTTTTTAGAAGACTTACGTGTACTAAGTGGACTTATATGTCCTATAGGTCATATGGTAATTAATGATATTAAAAAACGTCATTATTGTTAATTTTCTACGACAATTTAAAATTTTTGTCACAAAAAAATTGTTACTAATTATAAGTTTTAGTGACAGTTTAAAAAAATCGTCACAAAGAAAGTTGCTAATTTCAACTTCAGAGACAATTTGAAAATCTATCAAAAAAAAGTTACTAATTATAAGTTTTAGCGATAATTTATAAAAATCGTGACAAAGAAAGTCATTAATTGTCAATTTTTAACGACATGTATAAAAAATCGTCACAAAAAATTATTTTTAATGATGATTGTCCTAAAATTTACTTTCAATAGAATTTTATGAGAATTAAGTTCCATTATTAGCATCCATTGGTAGTGTATCTCAATTTTTGCCGTACAATGTGGGAAGTCCCAACTTTTGAAGGTGCATATATAAAAGTGACGAACTGACACAATTCAATTGGTTGTACAAGAAAAGCTGACCAAGGATCCTCTAGAGTGTTTTTTTCCTAAAGTTTCCTAAAGTGATGTATTGTGTGGTTGAGATTTAATGCTGAAAAAATTGATGTGACTTGTCATTAATCTCAACCACACAATGCACCACTCTAGAAAACTTTAGAAAAAAAAACTCTAGAAGATCCTTGCTCAGAAAAGCTAGAGTTTGGACAAATTATACCGATACTCCTTAAATCTTGTTTCTTGTATTATTTTTAATCTTTACATCTTTAATTGGTATAATTTTGACTTTTAATTTTAATTTTGTGTCAATTTGGTCAGATTGATAATGTCGTTAGTGGTTTTTGATTGAAAATAATTACTGAATTGATTGAAGTTAACTCAGTGCAGTTAATAAATTTATAAGTTTTACTTTAACAAATATGTCATATACCACTCTATATACAATTTTTTCATTAAAAAAAATTGTTTAAGATGTTTTCATTTTCTTGAATTCCTTGGTGAGGCGATTATCCGATCATCATTTTGATTATCTGGCACAGGTGGTGCCGGAGGTGGAGGTGGCGGGTGTGGTTGCTGCCACTGTTGTTGCCACTCCTGTTGCTGTCTCAAAGCTTCTGCCATTTCTTGGATCAGTCTTTCCATTCTGTCCAGTCTGGCAGTAGAAGATTCCTCTAACTCATCACCTCTGGTTCTCACCATCTGATTAAGCTTACATTATATTTCATACAAAAGGTACACAAGTATGCATGCACTAAGAAGCACATATTTCCAGATAATTCGCAATGCAAGTAGTTCACAACTTACACATATAATTATTCATAACAAAACATTTAAGCATAGGATTAATGCTTCCAAACTC